TATCTCTCAAAAGGAATTCAACAGGGTCTCTAAGATAATAGATGCAAAATTYGGGGACTGGAAGAACAAGAAGGACAAGGAGAAATATCTTGATCGTTTCTCGACTTCAAACTGGGATGGAGAGAAAGTAATAACCAGAGATGGAAAGAGGAAGAGAAATCATTCCCTGACTGCATGTCAAACTTGTAGACGTTTTAATTCAACTTACCAAAGTTCATTTCCAGAATCTAGTTTAATAGAAAGTGCAACAGAGGTATATTACAGGACATAAGCACAAACATTTCAAAAGTGAACAAAAATTCCAACAAAAAGAATCAAAGAAAAAACTCAGAGAAGTAGGACAAGATATTTATTCAACAATAAATGAAACATGCAAAGAAAACTATAATAGGAGTTTAAGCCAAGTACTTGTTCCTGAGGCTGGTCTTGAAGTAAAGAAAACACCTGAGGAGAAAAAGAAAATTATCAGAGAACAACAAAGAAAGATAAAGARAGACACAGAAAAGCAAATGCAAGGAAATGATACAGAAACCCATTTAAGTTTGAGACAATCATACAGTGCTAGAAATGAAGATAGGCTTGCACGTTTTTTTGAAACCAAAGGAGAAGCACAAGAACTAAGAGTTAGAAAAACCCCTCCTGAAAAGGTTACAAGATCCCATGCACCATCTATAGAAAACATTGAAGGTAACCTCACTGAGTTAGTGAATGATRCCAAATCATGGTATGATAAAGAGGTAAACTGGACTCAAAAAGCAAATCAGTATGGCATCAAAAGAAAAGGAAGTGAAGAAGAGCTACAAAATAAAGGCCAGGTACTTAAGACCTATCTACAATCAAAAGGCATTGATGTYAAAAAGATCAAAACTGCAAACAGAAAGAATATAGATGATGAATTTAAAGGTAAAGACARGTGCCCAGGAACGATGCGACAGCTATACATAGTAAAACCAAGTAAAGAATTTAGCTGCAAGAGAAAGGAAGAAAGTATAATCAATATAAAACCAAGACATATAGAATGAGCAGCGTTCCCTTACAAAGCAAGGATGGGAAAATAAGAATTCTATTTAAGTTGAGGTAAGTAGAAGTTGATGTTGATCTAACGATCAAATGCGCTGTATTGCCTGAAGCATTTTTAATAATAACAAATGCCAACAAAAAAGGTTAATCAACTTCCTTGACAGTATTTATCTTTGAATTAATATAATTTGCTTGGTAAAGAAATGATGAAGCCTGTTAAATGACAACCGCGAATTAAGTTTTCCTTCCATCGTTGATGTAGTGAGACTTTTAAATAATCATAAATACACCTTTGACATGAAAGATGTAACTCATAATGTCAGTTAATTGGATAGTACTATTGTTTGTAATAAATTAACATATGTTTTTGCGCCATGCGCCGACCTGTGAATGAGCCAATCAAGGAGCTGAAAATTTCAGTCGATATATACAGTAGTTCGAAAAATCTTTTCCGAAGACTGCTGGTCCTGAGCTTGTAGCCTCGCACCTTTAACACCGAGCTGCGGTTGCTACGTAGATATCTAATGTAATAAATGTCTTTTAAACAAAAGATAGCATATGTTGAGTCTGTTTAAGGGATGATCGTCCTCGCATTAAAATATAATAATCTAGCGAATAGGGAAACTCAATTTGCATTGTGAAATTGATTCCCTGGGGATAACATGTATATCTCTTTCAATTTGATCGTCACCTAGTTTGGAGTGCTATATTTCGAATTATTTTTGTTTGCGTGAGCTCCGAAGAAG